CCTCAGCCCAGAGAGCAGAAAATGACTTCTACATCACTGTTTTTCAAAAACCTCCGCTCCTGGTCTGCCTTGGCTTTATAAATGAGGGAAATGTTCTCTGCTAAGTTGAAGGGAAAACAGGAAAATATGAGAACTTCAAGGAGAAACGGAGTAAATTGGATCGCTGCATAAACCATCCAACTGTATTCCAGGAGTCTTTAATAGTGATTGATCGGATGTTTTCACTGTCATTTTTAAAAGGCCCTGTAATCAAAATCGGATCCAAGCCTCCTACCCGGCCAAAGTCATCATCGTGGTTCCCCTGGACAAGCACCAGAGGTTCCTAATCAGCCCTCTCCCTCTCACTTCACGCCCCACTCCACGCTCCTCATCTCGTCCAGTGTGCTATTCCAGCCCACACCTGACTGTGCAGCTCCTCTGCTCAAAGACGCCCCCTGACTCGCCAGGGCCTGCGGAAGAGAATCCGGGCATTGCCTGCGGGAGACTAATCTGACCCTGGCCGTCCAAGCTCAGTTCCACCTCTGGCCCACCTCTCAGACCCCTCTGGGATCCTGGGAAGCCACAGCAAACCTCCCAGAGCATCCTTTTCCATTTTACCAAAAATACCAGTGCCTTTACTATGCTGTTGTCTCTGCCCAGAATATCCTTCCCTAGCTTTTTAACATGGCAACATTTTACTTACCACACATGATCCCGTTCAAATACATAATCTGTCAAGACTTTGTTGGCTTCCCTCCATTCCTTTCTCTGAGTTCCTACACTAGGTTTGTAGGTGCCTCCATTATAGTTCTTAAACAAATTATACAGTAATTAACTGTTTATGTATCTGACTCCCCAACTAGACCTTTCTAGTCAATGACTAGGTCTCATGCATTTTACCACTCACAGTCCCTGTGCTTCTGAGAGAGTGCTCAATTCAGAGTCAGGACATGAGGGTCCCAGCTAGCTGACAGCTTCCTTGACTCTAACATGGAATATAATAATCAATGGGCACTGATTGCCATGGAAACCTGAACCAGTTAGAAGACAGAACATTATTTTGGCTTTAAATGACCTATATGCAGTTGGATACTTCTTAATTAGCTTGAAGAAATCTAAATCACATCCTTTGATTTATTCAATAGTAACATCACATTGAGGACTGTACTTCAACACAGGAATAGTGGGGAGCACAAGCATTCAGTCCACAGCAAGTTGCTGTACTGATATTCACCACCTTTTTTTAACATTCCCTTGGTATATTTGCAAGGAAACAAAGAATTCAACTCAACTGTCAAACGGAATATACTTTCCTTCACAAAATGCCTTCAACACAGAAACACAAACTTCAGACATTCTGATCAGGCAAGTTAGTTTAGAGTAAAGAGCAGAATGTGCCTCAGGTTCCCTTGTTTTGACTGGGGACCCCACCCCCAATCCTCTCGTCCATTCCCAAGGAGATGGTTACTATTTATCTAATTCCCTGCTCCAGGAGGGCCAGGTCCACAGAATTTTCTCTCCTTTCTCCAGAGAGATTCTTGTAAGGAGCCAGGCTGAGACAGGCAGCTTCCTGGTCCTCCTGTCTTCTCCAAAATAAAACATAATGAATCTTAAGGGAAAAATTCCTAAATGAATATACACCTTTCACTATTTGCTACATACTCGACGGGAAGGAGCAGGGAGCAGGGGGAGGGAGAGATGAGGGCAGCTCTGTCCATTTAAACATTAAAGAAATACTGAAGGAATAAAATAATGTCCAGATTGCAAATAACTAGAACACTCATATCTAGGTTTTTCTTCAAATGGAGGCAAAACACGCACAGATGTGAGCATAACTTCTCTCTAAACATTTGACAGTAAAACATTTTTGTTAATAAAAAGTAGGAGGGGAGGGGCGGAGTAGATAAAAGCTGGGAGTGGCGTCTGTGTATAATTATAAAATATTTGCAGTTTGATTTGTTTCATTTGAGAGCTTATATATCTGCTACACTTAGAGTTGAATTCCACACAAGAAGTTACTGGCCAGTTTCTACCCAGACCCACTCACCTTGCCAGGTTGAGGAATCTGACATACGCAGGTGAGAGAGGGTTTTTCATACCACTTGCAAAGCTCCATGCCGTCGGGCTTCAGGCATTTCCTTCCTGCATTAAAAGTACTTGCTTCTTTCCTCTGAATCTTTTTTTGTGGATTCTCTTTGGTAACTATATTATTTCCCACTCCTCTCTCCTCAGTTCTACTTCCTCCTATTTACTCTTCTTCCTTTTCTGAATTGTTTCTTGCGTTCTCCATCTTTCTAAGTGTGGACTTCTGAATGACATCAAGAATACTCTACTCTGAAGATTTTAAAATGTAAACCATGCCTTTTATTGTGTAGTCTTTACTGATTCAGTTACCCAAACAACAAATAGTCTACTTTTTAAAATAAATATTATATTCCTGGTTCAGCTGTAAAGATAAAATAAAATTTGAGAGTACAATCACACATCATAATATTTTACCAATAAATCCTACAAATACCTTGAAATACAAAGAGACTGTACTTTTCTCTGACCTATGCACCCTGCTTTTATTCTCTGCGTTTCGGCTTTTGCTCAGAAACTCATGTTTGCTATATGAAGCTATAAATTAGCTTTCTGGTGAATTATGAAAAAATTTCCCCCTTTTATCAAAATGTTAAAAGAGATTCTCTTTTTCTCCACTCCTTCTGCCACTTGTATACCCCCAGAAAAGAGGGAGAGAGCACGATGAGACTCCACTGGAGGGTCCTGCGGATCCTGCGTCACAGAAACACACACTCCTCGGGGAAAGGTGTGTCCTGCTCGGGTTCCCTGTCAGCTGCCTGTCCTGTGCTGTCTTCACAGCCACGTCTGTCACTCTCCAAATAACGTGCTCCCCGCCCCACCCAGGGAAAGTAACACATAATTGAGTCCTGATTTCCAAAGTCTCTCAAAATTTGCCAAACTGTCCACTGGGATCTCACTAGAAAGAACCAGGTATGATCTTTACTGAATATGAGGGCAGTTAGTCTACGGACTTCCAGAAAGGCTCTGGGATAAACCACTGTTAGTCTGACTGTTCCAGAATCCTCCCTACGTTCTTTCACGACAGAGCCTCATCAAACAGGAGAGCTGACTGCAATCCAGAAAACACACTATCTTACATATTTCTATCGATTTTACATATTTCTTTTCAGTTATGATGATCACCTCCATTAATACCTAATGGACTCACTAGTGACTTTAACATGAATTCTTCAGTAAAAATTATGCATTATCATGTGAAATGGAGAAAAAATAAACTCATAGTATATATCAAGCCATTCATTCTTACCAAAAACAAATAAGCTTACTAATAAAGATGTCATTTAAAGCTTATATTTTACCATTAATTTGTAAGTGGATGTTTTTAGTCAGTTTTTAAAGTAATTTTGTTTTGCTGGTGGATTCCAAATTAGTATTTAGTTACTGAAAATATTTGTACATCTGGACCTAAAACATCTACAGCATGTTCACATTTGTTTTGTCCCCACGGTTTCGCAGGGTCCATGAGTAGGAGGTAACAGTGCACCACTCCATCCTAACACGTGGAAACGGGGCTCATCATGATCACCTCTGGTCCAACATGAAGTAAAGACAACTGAGGCTGACTTCTCCTGCTGCCTGGCCCAGAACACCTTTATTATTTTTCTGAATTACCAACAAGAAAAATGGCATTGCCAACCACAAATAAAATGTAAATAAGGTCCATTTCTTTGGAACAGAAATCATCAGAGACATTTTGACCAAGGAATGTCTAGTCTGATTCAAAAGAGCCTATCTTTCTCTTAACAGTCACATTTGCATATACCTTTGGAGGCCAATAACACAAGTAATGAAGATCTAGGGAAAAAAAGCAACCAGTAGTATATATAAAATATTTTTAAAGCCTCCTTTATTTTGAAAAGGACACTTTTCTGTCTCTAAATATGTTTCCCTTTTCCAGAAGATGACAATTAAAGAAAATAATTGTTTTATGGCTTCTCTAAAAATGAAAGCTTCCAAGTTTCTAATGCAAAAAAGGGAATTGCAAAAGCTCCAATATTTGACCCTCTATATCAGGGGTGGGGAACCTTTTTTCTGCCAAGGGCCATTTGGATATTTATAGCATCATTCAAAGGCCATACAAAATTATCAACTTAAAAAAATGAGCCTGCTATATTTGGTCAGGCTAATTTGGTGAGGCGTGTGACGTTAGCTGGTATTGATTTCACGGGCCTTATATGGCCCACGGACCAGACGTTCCCCACTCCTGCTCTTGATCCATACAAAATTTTTTTTACAAGATTGAATTATTATGGTCTAAGAGAAGTTACGCCTAGGCAAAATATACTTCTGTCCATAAGCGGTAACAGAATAAAAACACTCAAAAATTAAAGACACACTTTCTGGGCACAACATGCTATAGAAAGGAGAGCAACTTCTTCCACAACTTCAGTGGTTCTCTAACTCTAATTAGTGTGTCAGAGTCTCCCAGAAATAAAACAAGACTGTTGGGCCTCCCTCCAGAGAATCTCATTTCTGGGGCGGGGCCTGAGAGCTTACTTTGTAACAAGTTTCCAGGTGACAATGCTGCTGCTGCTGGTCTAGGGACCACCGCTTTTACTCAGTCACCCACTCAACCACCGTGGAAGCCTTAGTGTAATGTGTCTAACCTTCCAGATGCATATCTTGTGTTTTTTGTTCCAGTTAGTTTTACTGATAAATAACACAACTTCTTAATTAAAGTATTACTTTGGAATATCTTCATCATCTCTAAGTTGCACACCACTTTTAGAGCATCACAAAATTATAGATATTTAATACATGAAAGTGAAAATAAAAATATGTTTATATGTGTAGCGTATCTTTAGTTCTCAATGTACAGAGTTGCTGGTAAAAGAGTGAGATGACTAAGCTATCTGAAGACTCCCTGGACTTTAGATGTGATGTCACAAACAACAACGTATGGACACAGGCGGTCCGTCTCCATCCTCAGGGCTTACCTGTGACGGGTGCATCAATATCCAGCAAATTTTTTTCCTGTCGGAGAATTGAAGCCCCTTCTGTTATTATTCTCAATGCAACACTCTCTTCCAGCCTGCCCTCCTTCATGAGATGTGCCTTTAAGATATCCACACGAGGTTTCCCATCGTTATCAAATACTTCTTTTGCTGTAAGCCGGTGACTTGGAGGAAATGGGACAGCTGAAAAAGAAAAAGTCAGAATCCCACATGAGCCCAAATTCAACAACAAAAGATGCAGTAATAACCACCAAACGTCTATCCTAATCACTAGCAACCCATCAGAGTATCTTAAAAGTACCCACATTACAACAATCAAGGGTTCTCAAGAATTAAAGACTTCCTTTGGTTCCAGATGTAACATGATTGCTTGAAAGGAAGTCTGCAGTTCTTATTTCTTGCATCTCAAAGATGCTGCCTGAGTTAATAACAAAAAAGAAGATTTGCTTCTGTTACGCAAGAATCACTTCAGCAAAAGAAACTCTTTCCTATGGATCCAACCATAACCAACTTTGGAGAAGACATTTCTCCACTAGAAAGCAGGCTCCTCTACTGGGGTTAGAGAAATGAGACAAACTCTGGAGACCAGATGTGTCCCTTCAATTGGAGTCATGTCTCTGAGTAAATGGATTGGATTCACTGTTTAAGGGAAAAACAATAATCTGAGAGCAAAAGGGCAAAAATGCACTATTGAACATTTCTTTTTTTTATTTATTTTTTCTTTATTGATTTTAGAGAGGGAGAGAGAGATAGAAACATTAATGAAAGAGGACATCGACTGGCTGCCTCCTGCATGTTCCCTACTGGGGATCGGGCTCACAACCTGGGCATGTACCCTGACCGAGAATCGAACTGGCAACCTCTTGGTGCATGGGGTCCGTGCTCAACCACTGAGCCACACCAGCTGGGCTGAAGGAACATCTTGAACAGTGAGAGGAGACTATGATGTCAGGAAGGGGATACAGGCATTTAGGAATATGACAGTGATAAACCACTTACAGTGCAGAATTAGAACCAGCCATTTTGTCCTCATGACCCCAGGCCTTCTGAACAGTAAGAAGCTCCCCTGCGGCTTCTGTCATTCTTCACATCTGTGAATACATTCATTCCTTCACTCATTCAGCCAGAGGACGTTCAGTAAACAACTACAGTGAGAACCAGGACACTGCAGCTCCATGGGCAGAGAAGGTATCATGACAGTTAAATTTCTGACAAATGGCCAATACTCCCCCATTCGGTGAGGGAAACTCATTATATCTGTATTTCACATGAGGGTTCATTTCCAGACAACTGAAATCTATTAGAAATATCTGGAAGGAGCATAAGCACAGCTCCATGCAATTTTCATCTGCCATCTACGTAAGAACATCTCCTCATGATGGCTCCTCTCTTTAAAAGAACACTTGATATTAAGGAATAAACCTGGCCCTCAAAGAAGCAAGGATTATGGTAAACCTAGGCCAAGACAATATGCGTAATCTAATAGCACAGATTAGTTATAAAAGAGAAATTCTAACTACTTAAGAAGAGAGAAGAAAAATCAGGAAATGGACCCATACTAGTGGATGCAAGCTTGATTCTCCTCACAGTCCAAGCATATCTATTTAACTGTGCTACCAAACTGAAGCGGCAGTGGCCCGGTCCGTGGACGCGCATGTGGCTTTTGTGGGCAGAAGCACCTGGGTGCCAGCCCTGGCTCCGCTCACTCACCGGTTGTATAACCCTGGGCAAATTACACATCTTCCTATGGCTTCTGTTACCTCACCTGCAAAGTGGGGATTATATCTATCTGAGGATTGCTGTAATAACTAAAGTAAATAGTAATAGTAGTAGCTAACATTTACAGAGTGTTTATTTTATGCTAGTCAGTGTTTGGGGAATAATGTCAGACAGAACAGTAAAGCTGTGGGATGACTGAGGCGTATGTACATGTGTTGATATATAAACGTATTCAGTCCCCATCACACTACTGTGAGAGAGAAACTTGATGCTCAAAAATATCAAGCATCTTGCCCAAGATAATCACCTAGAGATTTATATGCAGACCCACTGAGGGCAGCCTCTGGCAGTCTGACGCCAGTATTACTGTGTTAACAACTACATGGCACAGCTCCCCAGAAAGTATTTAAGACAGTGCTGAAAAGAATAATGAGCAAATCACATTTTAGAATTCAAATTCTAATGAATACTGAGCGGTGCTTCTTCTAAAGACCACTTTTATTTTCAAAAGTTATTTTAAGAACTGATGGTAGAATAAATATATAGTACAAAGAGCATGATGTAAGATAAAAGGCAAAATGTATAATGCCAAAGCATGGTGTGAAATAAGAAAAAGAAAATACAAGAATTAGACGGAGAGAAGAAAACAGAGAACATCTGGTCCTTGGACAAGGTCGTTCATTTTGTTTCTTTGCCTCCCCTTTTTTTCTGGCCTAACACACATGTTCGCTAAGAAAATATGAAAACATTTCAATGGCCACAGTTTTTTATTTAGGTTTTCATATATATGGTTTGAAATTAGAACATATCTTACCTGGTGACACCTCAAAATTCCCCAGATACAGGATGGTGGGTGGAAAGGGGGGGACTTCAAAAGGACACACAGGGCAAAGACAAGGGCTGATTTTTTTTTTTTCCTCTCCAAATGACTTCCCAAGATACGAGTTGGACAACTATGAAGGTTTAGGTGACTGCAAAACTGTCGGGCAAGACTTGTAGGAGCCTCGAAGGGAAGGGGGCGGATCTGCAGTCACGCCGGTAAGAGCAGTGGGTCCCTGCCACGCACAGCTGGCCTTATCAAACTGAGGCTGACCGACGGATTGAACCTGAAACAGCCCAAGCATTTAAGAAGGCAAGAGGCCAAAGGAGAACACCCCAGGGAGGCATCGCCTTCACGAATTAGACTTTCTCCAAGTCCCTAGACTCTCCAAGGCTAAGCCCACGGCAGTCACAGACACGCCACCCTTCGCAGCAGGTGGCTTGCCTTCCAGTAATTGCTTATCCTAAGGTAACTGGCTAAGGCAAAGCCACCCACTGCTTTTATCGGCCTGGATACTGGAACTGGTTCCAAGTAAACAGGAGCAAGAAGAGAGAAGACCAATCAGCAGCTGTTTCCAAATGGATGGTAGGGACACTGATGAGACGGGCGCTTAACCAGGGAAACAGACGGAAAGGCCTGCAAGGAACCAAGATGGGCAGCAAGGATGCCAAAGACCAAACGCAGAGAGGCTAGCACTGGAGGAAAGTTTTCCGGCACAAAAATAAGAGTGGGCTAATATTTGTGTATTTGTGCACCCTTTGGCTTCATAAAGAAAACACCAGCCTGACAAAGGTCACATTTATTTGCTTTCCCTGTTCACCTGGAGCCCTACACGCAAGACCTGCGCCAAATGTGGAGCAAAAACTACTGAGCAAAGAATCCGATGTGCTCAGTAAACACAGCTCTCGTTAACTTGTTGCAAAAATGGCTATGCTTGATACAACAAAATCGGATTTCCTCTTCCCTCCTCTGCTGTCAGTATTAGCAGTTGTTTTCATGGATACACGAGCAGGCCAGGGCTAGAAGAATTAAGTTTGTGCCTGCTAGTAATAATTCAAAAATAACTGTTGACATTTGGGCTAACGCCTTCCAACACGATTTTCTTATAATTACCTATGAAGTACAGAATCTGGTGTTATAATAGACTTCCTAGCAGCATTCTAAAAATAGAAATGCTCTCCGCTTTCTCCACTTCACGAATCCCACTCAATATCATTTTCCCCCCTCACATACAACAGCAAATTAGCTAAAATTGGGGCTACAAAGTCCTTGGCTGACTCCTAACACAAACCACCTTTAGCAGGCAAACAATACACTTGACTAAGATTGTGTTCCCACATCACTGACTGTGGCAATCTGGCAGAGACTGGTTTCCCATGAGCTGGATATGATATTGCTTCTTTCTATTTGTTGTTGCTACCAGAGGTCATGTACCTGATGTAGAGAAGGGTTACTAGTCTGGGAACCAACATCACTGGCATCCGATAACTGGCATCCATATAACAGTGACTAGAGTTGTCAATGATTCATTCACCAGAAGAAAAGCACATTCCGAGTCAGAAAGCCTGGCAGCGCGAATGTTCTCAGCCTGGGTTCTGGATGACTCCGGGGACCACGCCGCAGAGAGTCAGTCCGGGTCTCCTCCTCCAGCCTGGGCGGGGTCAGCACCAGGCAACCCTGTGTGCCTCCGCAGCCACCGCGACCTGCTCTCACTCTGGGTGTCTGAGAAATCTGAGCCGCTTCAGCCACGACTGAGGGGACTCCTCCTGTTTGATGGGAAATACCCAAGAACCACTGTCGCGGGAGGCCTGCCCTGGAAGGAGAGGCAGGAAACCTGCTGCCTGACCTCTCGCTGGAGTGACTGTCATAAATGCTGACAAGAGAGAATCACATACTTAAGAGAACATTTAGCCTAGCCATTTTTTCCAAACCTTTATTTTGCTTTAAAAAAACCTTTTTTTCTCTCTCTCTCAAATGAAATGACATCTGAAAACTCAAGTATATCCAAAGGAAAAAGGCCCATCAAATCTTGGGGCTGTTTGTGACAAAATTAGAAAACTCCCAATTTAGACTGACTCCTGACCCCACCTCCCACATATTAAAGAGGAAACTGGAGCCCAGAGAGAGGATCAGTGAACTGTTCAAGGTCAAAGGATTAGTCAGTGGTAAAACCAACAGGAATCTTGAGGTCTCCTGGTTTGCATTTCAGCACTTGACCCTCTCAGCGTGCTCTGTCCAGTGCGGAACTGCCTGGGCACGCACGGCCTGAACCCTGGAAAAGCAGCTCGTCCACACTGAATGTGCTTCAAGTCCACAACATGTACTCCATTTAGAACACTGTGTCCAAGAAAAAACTGTAAAATACCTCATTAAATATTTTTCTATTGATCACACGTTGAAATAATAAGATCTGGAAGATAATGGGCTACTGAAAATTTATTACTACAATTAACTCCAGCTATTCCTCTTTACCTTTTTAATAGAGCTGCTAGAACTTTTAAAATTGCATAAATGGCTTGTATTAGATTATTGTTGGACAGTGCTGCATTCTTCTCAAGTAAATGAGAACTGGGTAGATGGAAATTATATTCTTTAATCTTTCTTCTCTTCCAGCTTTGGTTCCTATAGAATTTCAGACTATCTC